GAAGCCTGTCTTAGACTGCATGGAGAAGAACCAGATCCAGAGTGCATTCCTGAACAATCAGGGGGAAATGACACAATGGTTTTCTTTGCTTCTTTTGATCTTGCTCCTTAATGCCACTGGTTTCCTATATTTTCCTAATGCTAGAGCTCCACTCAGCTTTCCCAAACTTTTTGATGTAATTTCAAACACTTGATAATTGAATTTCTGAGCCCACAGAACATAAAAGGTGAATGGTAGGGAGTGGGGGTAAAGAGTCATGGTAGAATGAAACAGGATGACAAAAATTATACATGGTAGACATCACTCAGTCTCTGTCATATTGGTGACTTCTCACCAAATACAGTAACTCTCATTTCTTTGAAGCAGCCAATTGGAACTAACATGGTATCTTCCACGTGCCAGGAGCTGTGGGATTTGCTGACATTGCTTGTGATTCCCTAGACCAGAGCTTCCCCATGGGGTGCTGGGAATGGGGTGCAGGTGGGTCACCACACTGACAGCCAGAGGGGACTGACCCTGGCTTCTTCACCCCTGTAAGCTGCTCAGATAGGATTAGTTTCTATACTTGTCCTGACTTGTACAAGGTTGAGAAGGAATCCTCTAGGCAATTCTGTGAACTAGGTATTAATATTCTTATTTTGTAAAGTAGGAAATGAAAACTCACAGAGATGCTACATAAATATGCACTAAAGAATTAATGTTCAATCTGACTTCAACTGTCTACCACGTGTTTTCTTCCAAATTAACAGCACATTGAGAGGCTAGATCTTTTTGCTGTGACTTACAAAGCAAGAATTTGCAGGTAACATTTCCAGAGTGCAGTATAACTCCTTGATTAGAGCTTCTGAGCAAGCTACCATTACCTATTTGTGTATAGGTGATGTATATACTTGTAAATAAGAACTAACATTGTTTGTAAGGCATTATTCTAAGTATCTTATATGTATTGCTTCACTTGATCATAAAAAATCAATAGGAGACACCATTTTTAACCTCATATTCAGAAGAGAAAATAGATACAAGAGGGAGTGTAAGTGACTCATAACACATCACAACAAGTAAGCAGAATCAGGACTCAGGCTCAGTGAGTCTGACCTCACAGCTGGCACACTCAACAATGACCAGACATCAACTTTTCTTACTGGATAAATATCAAATTAATATATAACCAACAAAAGACATGGCAAAAGGAAGGTAAGTAAAGTTAAGAGCAATGCTATATCAGCTGTTTTAAGGTTATTTGGTCTCAAGTTAGAATACACTTGAAGTGATTTGTGTAAGAAAAACTCTCTAAAGTGGGACAGAGAAGAGTGAGCACTAAGTGGGAAGTAAAGGAATATGGACGTATTGATGAAACTCTTAAACTGTAGAATTAGAACCACATCTCAAATCCATACTTACAATTATGTGATCTTAGATACATTCCCTTTATATTTAAGCTTTGCTTCCTTCCTTATAAATATGGATAATTAAAATACCCTGGGGTCATTGAGTGAGGTGATGTAGGCAAAGGTGATGTAGGCTTAGCCCAACATTGCCACGTAGTAAGCAGTCAATGGTAGGTAGTGTTATCGTATGTCCAAAATAAAAACATGCTGTAAATACTAATGGCCATAGCGGTAGTTTGCATCTCAAAATATTAAGAAAAAGTGTTACAAAGATTAAGCTTAAAACTGTAATTAACATGGTGAAGCAAAAATATCCATATCTGGGAAATTTTTGTCTTTCCACACAATGTCAATACAAAACGACAATACAAAAATGACAATACAAAAAGAGGAGACCTATCAGAAACCAATTAACTATGCTCTGGAAATTTGAGCCACTGATCACCTTTCTAAACTATAGTTTATTCATACATTAAATAAGTTAAATACTCACTGTTACCTGGGAATGTGAAAATAAAATAGGACTGAGACTGTAAAGGCTAAAATCTTTTCTAAACTGTAATACATATATATTATATATACACACACATATAGGATATACATACATATGTCCACACAAATGTGAAGAATTGTTATCACAAGAAAATATATGTTGCAGTAAGAGAGTTTTTAAGACTCTAAAAGAATTATCTGTTTTCAATGCTCCAGTTTGAATTTCCAATCTTCTTTACTTTTGACTCAAAATGGCATTTATTTATTTGAAAATGATATCCTTCCAAGACAAAAACATGTATGTTTACTGTGTTTCCAAAATACCAGTACTTATTATGCAGAGATCATATTTTGTTACTCTAGGATCTTATGTGGGAATGGCGACCTTGTGTGGGGCATTAAGTATGAGAAGTTTTTATTTGTAATTATGACAGTCTCACAGTGTAATTTTATCATATGATTTAATCTTTCTAAGCTTCCTGTGAGATTTTGTATGATGAGGATTATAAAACTTACTCCTACATTCTAGGTATGTTTCAGTAAAATAGTTTACCTGATAGTACATTGAACCCTTCAAAATGTTGGTCCTATTTGAGAGTATTGGGCAGGTTTGACTATTTCCTGTGCATTTGAGAAAAGTACACTGACCAAATCAGATGGGGAAAGCTTTTATTTCAACCCAATTTATATTCACTCAGCTCTTATAATATACCTGTCAGTAAGACTCTACCACCCTGTTACTATTTTTATTATTTGTGATTTCTACCCAATACCAGTTTCCACATCCAACTCTTTTCACTATAATTATATTATTGGAACTCTTGAAGCAAGGGAGAAGGGGTTGTGGTTGGAATCTGGACAGTCCACATTAGTGGTTTATTCATTATGCATGTAGCATCATTCGGGAGATGGGATCCCCATGGGAACATGGACCAAGTCATGGTAGATGGATGTCCGAGTTTATAGGATGAGGGCAATGGTGTGCTGCTATATCTTTAACCATGGACTCTGGAGGGGAGGGCAGATTTGAGTGTTTGCCAATTTCTGCCATGTAAATGCTCCCTCACTTTGACTGATTTCAAGCTACCCACAGAATGTAATTGAACAGGAAGTTGGGAGTCTATGAACCTAATTGACTTTCTTGAATCAGTATAGTCCAGGCCCCAAAACAACATGGGATCTGAGGCATGATGCTTAGAAGAAAAAAATCCCTGCTCTTGTCCTGCCCAAAAAAGAACCACTGGCAAGATTTGCTTTTTAGAAAGAAATGATGAAAACCAAAGCCACATTTGTTATCTTTCCATCCCCAAACTAGAGAGTTTTTGAAAACAATAATTTGCATTTTTATTTTCACAGTCTCATCATCTTATTTAAGAAAATCATAGTTATATAAAGTCCCCTTTCCCTCTTACAGGAAATGTCCTCCTTGATATTCTGGCAATAATGAACTTTGTTTTTTATTTTATTTATTTATTTATTTTTGAGTTTTGGGGAGGGGGTTTGTTTTGTTTTTAGCTAGGAATTTCTTTTTTTTCTTTTCTACTTTGCACTTTTTTTTTTTTTTTTAAGCAAAGGTATAATTGTGGCAACTGCTGTAACATTTACTTCTTTTTCTGGATAAGTGTAATTATTTTGCTGTATATAATATATTTCTTGGACTTTTTAAGTATGAAGGGAGTCAAGCAGTTGAAAATTGTGGCTGAAATAATTTTTTTCTAAATATAAGATTGTGATTCTTGTGTAGTATGTTTCTTGCACACCCAATGAGTTTTGTCATTGTAACATCGTGATGCACATGTTCAGAGAACATCCTGGCCACACCTGTGAGTCTTGCCAGTGAAAAGGAGACACCAATCTCTGAATGGTCATTCCAGTTCAGGAGGAAAGATCAAAAGATTAATGCCATATAATGCCAAAAACAATACATGAAAGACATAGTTGGTAAACTGGACTTTATGAAAATCAAAAACTTCTGTGAAAGACAATATTGAGACCATTAGAATAAACCATAGACCAGAAGAAAATATTTCCAAAGGACACATCTGATAAAGGACTGCTTTCTGAAATATACAAAGAACTCTTAAAAGTCAACAATAAGAAAACAAGCAACCCAATTAAAAAATGGACCAAAGATTTTAACAGTCACCTCACCAAAGAACGTATACAGATGGCAAAAGTATACATGAAAAGATGCTTCATATCACATGTCATCAGGGAAAGGTAAGTTAAAACAAAAATGAGACACCACTCAGCATAATCTCTTCCAGGATGCTGAGTGAAATAAGTCAAGCAGAGAGTCAATTATCATATGGATTCACTTACTTGTGGAGCATAAGAAATAACACTGAGGACATTGGGAGATGGAGAGGAGAAGTGAGTTGGGGGAAATTAGAGAGGTAGATGAAGCATGAGAGACTGTGGACTCTGAGAAACAAACTGAAGGTTTTGGAGGGGAGGAGGATGGGGGTTGGGTGAGGCTGGTGGTGGGTATTAAGGAGGGCACGTATTGCTTGGAGCACTGGGTGTGGTGCATAAACAATGAATTTGGAAGACTGAAAAAAAAATTAAAAAATTAAGATTCCACAAAGAAAAAAAAAATGAGACACCACTATATACCTGTTAAAATGGTCAAAACCTGGGGAACCTGGGTTGGTTAAACATCTGCGTTTGGCTCAGGTCATGATCCCAGAGTCCTGGGATCAAGTCCCGCATTGGGTTCCCTGCTTAGTGGGAAGCCTGCTCCTCCCTCTCCTTCTGCTGCTCCCCCTGCTTGTGTGCTCTTTTTCTGTGTGTGTGTCAAATAAATAAATAAAATCTATAAAATAAATAAATAAGTAAATAAAAATAAATAAAATGGTCAAAACTCAACGTGCTGACAGCACCAAATGCAAATGAAAATGTGGAGAAACTGGAATGCTCACACATTGTTGGTGGGAATGCAAAATGGTGTAGCTACTTTGGAGGACAGTTTGGAGGTTTCTTACAAAACTAGACATGCTTTTATCATGTGAACCAGAAACTGCATTTCTTGGTATTTGTCCAAAGGAATTGAAAATTGATGTCCATATAAAAACCTGCACACTGATGTTCACAGTATAAATAATTAAAAATGTTTCCAGGAGCTTTGCGCAGTGGCAGTATCGTAGCCAATGAGGTTTATCCAAGGCGCGATTATTGCTAATTGAAAAATGTTTCTAGGGGCACCTGGGGGGGCTCAGTCTGTCTTGGGATCAGACTCCCCACTGGGCTTTATACTCAGGGAAGAGTCTGCTTGAGATTCTCTCTCTTCTGCCCTCCCCATCGTGCTCTATCTCTGTCTCAAATAAATAAATAAATCTAAAAAAAAAGAGTTTCTAGAATAAATATTTATTCATAGCTGCTAAAAGTTGGAATTGATCAAGATGTCCTTTAGTAGGTAAAAGGATAAATAAACTGGTGCAGGCAGATAATGGAATATTGTTCAGCACTGAAAAGAAATGAGCTGTCAAGCCATGAAAAGACATGGAGGAACCCTAAATGCATATTACAAAGTGAAAGAAGTCAATCTGAGAAGGCTCTGTACTGAATGAGTTCAGCTATACAACAGTCTGGAAAAGACAGAGCTGTAGAGGACAATGACAAAATCAATGGTTCCCAGGAGTGGAAGGAAGGGTTAAACAGGCGGAAGATAGAGGATTTTTAGGGGCAGTAAAAATACCCGGTATGATATTTTAATGATGAATACATGTCATGATACATTTGTCCAAACCCATAGAATGTACAACAACATGAATGAACCCTAAAGTAAACTATGGATTTTAGGTGATAATGATGTGTCAATGTAGGTTTGTCCTTGGTACATAAATGTACCATTTTGGTGAATGATGTTGATAATGTGGGAGGTTATGTATAAATGGGGTTAAGAAGTATACAAGAAATCTCTGTTCTTATCCATTATTCTTGTCGTAAACCTAAAGTTACTTTAAAAATAAGGGTTCTTTTTAGGAGAGAGGAGAAATAATACCACAGAAGATTGTAGAACAATTCATTCCCTTTATAATATCATCTTTATCTACTAAGGTTGCCACTGATAAATCCAGTGGAATCATGTATTAGCATCTTTAGAGACCTAATTGAAAAAAACAGCATTCTCCTGCAATGATAATTGGAGGAGCAATGGTAAATTGCTTTCCCACTTAGTGGCAGAGCTGTGGGTGTCCTGATTTACAGTCCAGGGTTATTTTCCTATGGCACAGACTCCCACCTCAGACACAGATGTGGATTCCCTCTATGAAAGCTGTGCCAACCAAGCCCTAATGAGGCCTATTCAAGAAGCTGCCACCCGGATCTCAAAAATATACTTAAGTTAGCAGGCTAATCATTTATCTCTTGCTCGAAACAAGGAATGATTTAGAAGTGCCTGATACCTCAGCGAGGTGCACTATGGTTTCTCTCGTTGGCCTGTGAGTTTCTTACGAGCTCCAACTGCTATATTTCAGATTGCTTGGTACTCACCAATGAGTGATACCGTGCGGGGATACCGTGGGCATTGGAGAGGATTTGGAATTCTTAGGACAGCATTTTGTGTGGGGGAAAAGAGAGCCATGCTCACAAGTAGAGAAAAGAGATGATTTTGATTGAGGTAAGAGAAATAGCTTTACTTTCCACCCTGACACCTGTAACCCTTGAAGACACATAAAATGAATTAAATAAGTAGCATGGGTTAAAATAAATAAATAATGCCTCTTTGAAGTACTCGAGAATGATTTCCGTGGTTCTCGGAGGAGGCATAACGCATTGTCCTTATGAAGAACCAAGTAAAAAATGTTACGTGGAAAAACACTGCAGAAGAGCAAGAGATGACCTTATATTAAGTGTGGAAGATTCCTATGTTTCTCCCTCAACCAATCAGGATTTTTTCCTGTCCCCAGAGTCTCTCAGAAAAGAGACCCGGTCTCTCACTACATGATCAGTCAATTAATCATTCAACATGTATTTATTTATTTTAAAGAAGTATTTCAAATCTTCCACCATTTATGAGATTGTCAAATACAATTTTTACAGATGGAAAAAGTTTTGCTGCAGAATTCTCTCTTTGACAAGAAGCACCTAAAAGGATAAAACAGCTCACTTTCTGCATTAAAGCAATTATATAACAATACTTGATGTGACACACACATGCATAAAGAATTAGAAGGGAGGTACCCTCTTAGTTAAGAGAAAAGAAAGTGACAATAAAATCAAAGCCTCATCTCATCGCCTGAGTCACAATGGGCCACACCTGCAGAAATGACAGGATTTTGACACCTCAGAGAACAGCAAGTGATTTTCTGCTGACAGCAATCTAGAATTCTTCTTTAAGACAGCCTGGCAAGATTGCAGGAAAGAATAAAAAGTCACAGATTTGGAAACCCCAAGGTCAAAAGCCAGCAGAATTTTGATTAATAAAATCATTAAATCTTACTTGAACTTTGGTTGATGGAAATGAAATAAACTGAGGGCATTCACAACACAGCTGTCCTCTCAGGAGTCAGAGCGGAGGGCCCTGGCACGCAGTGCTCACGGTTACGGAGACCCTCTTGTCCAGACCTCTCTTCCCCACACTCACTGTGCTAACGTTGTGAAAAATATGTTAACAAAGCTTTCATTTCTTTCACATGCAGCTTCATTATGTACAATCCAACAGAAAGAACACATTTTAAGCAAACAAAAGCCTATAAGAGTTTAAATTTAAAAATACAGTGTTTTCCCGCATAATAATTTTCTGTGAAACCAGAGCATTTGCTAATCTCCTCTCATATCCCAGACCAATCTGTCAGAAATTCCTGTTGTTTTTTCCTACAGAATACATTCCAAATCCAACCACTTCTGACAGCCCTCACTGTTAAAATGCTTGTTGTAACCACCAATATTTCTTGTCTGCATAATCACCTCCTAACGGGTCTTTCTGCTTTTCCCCTTGGTCTTCCTAAAGTGCCTCCTTGACCCAGCAGACAGGCTGATCCTGTGAGCCTTTTAAAATATAGAGTGCATTTTAAAAAACTCAGTAAGTTACATCATGAGACTCCTGTTCTTAAATACTGCATTCCAGTCCGAGAGAAAGCTGGTGTCCTTCCAGTGACCTACAGTCTGGCTCCTCGGTACCACAGTCTTCTCCGCTCACTGTGCTCCAGCCCCACGACAGCCTCCTCCCTCTTCTGGCCTTTGCACTGGTCATATCCTCTTGTTTGTAATGACTTCCCCCAACTAAATCTCTGCATCAAGTGTCAAACGTCACTTGCTCAACGAGAACTACCCGTCCCACTCCAAATCTCTGCTACCCTGCTCTATTTTTGTTTATTTCTTATAGCACTTGTACTCTATACTATGTACTTTTACTACGACACTAAATGACTTGGTTTTTAGTTATTGTTAACTGTGGACCTTTTGTTATAATATAAGCTCCTGGAAGAATGGGGTCTTTGAATGGATCACTACAGTATTATATTCTGGGCCCCTAGAACAACCTGGCACACAACACACAACACACTCATTTGTTGAATGAGTGAATTCTAGACAATGACATAAAATCTCAAATTACTTCCAGTTCTGTATCAAAATTTACTTTTAAAAGACCTGTGCTTGCTTGGAAGATGAAAGAAAGTAGGGTCACATCATAATGACATATTAAATAAATAGTTTTCACATTTAGACCAGTGACTGTAAACCATGTCAACGATATTTTGAATTGATCCCCCAAATTAGGATATGATGAGGAATCTTGTGTTAGAAAATAAGAAATAATTCATGAATAAGAGTTAGAATGGGTCGATCTACTGAGAATGGTTTCTTAATTCATTTGAATAAAATGAGTATGGTAACATTTGAACAGTAGTTATATTTTGCCCAAAACTGTTCTATGCATTTCATGGTGCTCCTGTCCCTGGTAATGCTGTTTGCTTATGGCAAGGCTCTCTGCCAGGCTCATTTTTTTATATTTTCTCTAATCTTAAAAAACCAGAAGATCCCCATTCAACAGTCAAGAAAATTGGGGCTCAGGGAGTACTCCAAGTCTTGTCCAAGCTAATTCAGTTCATTTAAGACTACTCACATGGCATCTTTCATGTCAATGCCGAAGTCCTGCTGATGATTCCATCTTCCATGTTAGAAGGTCAGCATACTGGAACAACAGTTCCCTCAATGCTTCTGTGACAATTGCCCTATGTTTGCCATTTCCCACTCCTTGAAGAGATGTCTTCGATTCATATTTATTTCAGTCCTGTCTAAAGCAGTTTGGGCATACTGATTTAACACAACTAAAATCATCGTACAGATATTTTGGTAACAGCTTCTGTCATTTTGATGTTCCATGATATGATTATTTCCTTTGCATTTAGTAATTTCACACTAGAAAGGAAAAATGATGATAGTCCTAAGATTATGGCAAACCTAGTTAGATCAGCTATGTCAAGTTCAGAGACATTTAAAAAGTATTTGTTGGAACCTATTCTAATTAATTGCCAACATCATGCCTGTGTCTACAGGTATTCTTTTAGTGTTTGTGGATTTTTTTTTCGAAAATATACAAAGCTTGTAGCTAAGTTGTATTAATATACCCCAAAATGCTTTGGCTTTACGATGATAAAAATAGTGAGTGTGTTCTTTTCGTTGGTTTTAACACAAATGAGCTTTAAGAAAACATTGGGCTGCAAACAGAACCAAAGTTAATTTTCAGGTGCCTGGGTGGCTCTGCCTTTGGCTCGGATCATGATCCTGTAGTCCCGTGATCGAGTCCCCCATCGGGCTCCCTGCTCAGCGGGGAGTCTGCTTCTCGGTGTGACCTATCCCCTCTCATGTTTTCTCATTCTCTCTCTCAAATAAATAAATAAAATTTTTTTTTTTAAAGTTAATTTTTGTATAACCCAGAGCAATGTTAATATGACTCTCATTCTATGAAACTTGTGACACATTAAGTGCAGAGCACCATGAATTTTTACAAACTGAACACTTGTGTAACCGACAATCAAAGAAACAGAACTAATGGGATTCAGAAACTACCCTTGAACTCCATTCCCTTCCCTTCCAGCCACTACAAAGCCACCCTGCACCCCCACTAAATGGGTCATCAGCACGGTTGGTGAAATTCTTGATTCTTTGTTTCTTTTTAATTATTATTATCATCAATTATTATGATTTTATTCTTACTAATTGTTATTATTTTTCAGCTTTATTGAGGTATGATTGACAAATAAAAAATGCATACATTTAGGTTGTATGAAGGGATTTTCTAGGTGTATATCCTGATGATT